AACTGTTAACTACTCTAAGCCTTATTCTCGATAAAAATCAAGTTAAACAGTATTTGTCAAAAATTATATATTTAATATATAAATATAAAAAATGAAGTAAAAAATGATAAGTATTGATAAAAAATAATATTTATAACGTTAAATATGGTGTAACTATATGTAACAAGTTATGGTTTAAATTATTACAAATGCGCACACTTACCCGCAGTGCTGCGCACGTTTACCCCAATATTGGGTTAAGTGTGCGCATTCTGACTAACATTTATTTTATTTTATTTCTTTAATTACAATTAAGTAAATTGAATTTCATGTTACGTAATTGTTAAATCAATAAATCCTTTAAATAAATACTTTTATTTCAATTTATTTTGTACAATTATTACAATTTTATGACCATAGAAAAAAAAAAAGCGCACTCTTGCTCCACATGACTCTACTAGGGAGACAGAAAATATAAATGTAGGCTGCTGCATATCACTTCTTGACTCAAAAACACTCACCATCAAACATATGGAGTTTAAATGAATGGAATTCATTCAATGAATTCCATTAATAGAAATTTACTTATCCTTCAGTTCCTTCATATTATAACTGCGTTAAATCTCACTCAACTTGGACATCTCAAAGGTATTTAAATTAAAGAACGGGAGGCAAGCAATCCAGCGGTCCATCACCAAAATGACCAAAAACTATGCAAATCTACTACTAACTAAAACTAACCAGTATCTATTACCATGTCTGTCAAAGTCGTCAGCAGTTAGGGGGACAGAAAAGAATGGTTAGGACAGCAACATCACCCATATCGAAATGACTGTCGATGCTCAGAAGTTGGAAAAATTAATTTTATATATAGATTAAGTCGAAAGGATGGGTTGGAAAAATTATAGCTATTAGCTAACACAGTGGCTGTACCACGGTAAAAATTAATGATGGAATGATTTTCTGCTCATGTCATTACATTTCTAAATGGCGATTTTCACACTTAACTTGTTTGTCCAGAACATTTAACGAAAACTTGGCAATTCTGAGAAAACATACTCGCAAAAATGTCATATCTAAACTTAGTGAAAATCTATCAGCGGCCATGGTGGTTGTTGAATGCCGCAAGGTCATTGGTTAAAAGCCAGATTTTAATTCTCGCGCATGCGCATATTGAATAGTTGCTGCATATGTTCCTGTATTATTATGGGCATAGGTAGTAATAATATCTTTAGTAGCTATAGCCGGTACGATTTTACCTGCTTTCACTCGCATATAAAAACTGGCAGAACCCAGCCACTTACTACCTAGTGTTCTACCTTCGTCTACTATGCCCAGGTGTCGTTCACTCGACAGAGATAGCAACAATTACTTGATAATTACAGTAGTTTTCACTAGAAAACAGGGTCGCATTTTTGAAAAACTGTTGTCGAAACTCGAAAGGCCGTCTTTAACTATTATGGATAATGCACGATATCATCAAAACTGTACCAAATGCATCGACAAGAAGAGAAGAAATGATCAATTGGTTAGTTTGGTCATGGTTAATGGTCTTAGTTGTTACAAATTGTCAAAAATTACAAAAAACGTTGGCCGTATGCTACAGACGAAATAATTGCTGAAATGGGTCATCAAGTTTTAAGATTTATCTCTTTACCATTGTATATTTAGCGCCGTAGAATTGGTGTGGGCTCAGTGCAAAAAATTTTGTAATAAAAATATTGTAAGTGAGGCAAGACATGATGATACTGCAGTAGTATCCGTTTGGAAGGCAGTTCTCCAGACAGTTACCGAAAATAATTGGGTCAGTTGTATTGCACATAGAGAAAACACAATAAAAGAATTCTGTGAAAAAGAGGATATAATTGATATAACGGTACCACCACTGGCTATTAATTTTCTGATGGTAGTAATTCCAATTTTGGTTCTAATAATGAAGTTATTTCATAGTAAATACAGAATAAATGTGGTTTACCTGTATATTTACTTTTTTAATTTAATTTTTTTAATTTGATAGGGCAAAAGATACCTACGTTTTCTGCTATAATATGCTATTTTTATTTACGTATTCCTGTATTAATCAAACCAGGCGGAAAAATTAACATTCAAGTTGTTCACCTTGATTAATAACCCCTATCATAGCAAATTATGATTTTCGGACTCTTTCACATAAAAAAAAGCAAGTAGAAATCACAAATACCTTTGAATGGCGGGCAAAAGTTTTGCTGACAAAGTTTTTGTTCAAAATAATTTGCGTTTTTTTTTTTTAAGAAAAAAAGAAGAAAGAATTTAAAAAATGCAAAAGCATTTGCGGCTTAAATTTCATTTAGTGTTTATGCAAAGGAGGAAGGAGGCATTTTATAACTAAGTACACTAACGTTATTTGTTATTATTCTATTTCTACTTAGAAATTAGCTGACGGTTTTTTCAAACACGCCCCGTATAGACGATAAATTTCTGATCAATTTCGTGAACTTTGCGATTTGTCTCCTTGATTTTTCATTAATTTCCGTCTCTCTTTCTCGACAACAGAGAAAAACCTCGGGTTACTTGGAAGGCGAAGCAGCCGCACCCCGACCCGGACAAAAACCCGGAGCCAATTTAACGGTATATTTGCAAAACGTAAACACCGGTCCGCCGCCCGCCGTAACCAACCGAACAACAAGAGAGAGCAATTCCGGCCGACTCGCGTTTCACCCCTTGGTCGGAGTGTCGCGCACTTAACCCCCGGGCCATGGGTGGGTGGCCCGGGTGGCGGCGGCGGCGGCGGCGGCTCTTTTTCCCCGGATTAACAACACTATTAGCCTAATCCGACACGTGGCGGCGCGTGGGCAAAGACACACTTCCTGATCGATATGCCTTTAGCTTGATTTATGACGAAGATTTCTCGCGGAGATTATGGGGAGGGGGTGAGACGATGCTGTTTGCCAAACTAAGTGGTTTTATTGTGCGAATTAGACACGGACGGGGCTTTCTGGTTTCCGATTTGAAGGGTAGGTATCGGGTGGTCCCAATTACAAGATGTAAAGATCTATGCTCTGTTTCGTAATGCGTCAAAGTTATAAATCATCATGGAACTGCAAATTTGGTGGTCTTAGCAGTATTTCATACGCGTGGTATCGTATAGTAGGTCTCAATTTCCACAATAAAAGTTTAACGATGTTATTACCTATTATTATTGGGTAAAGCCATTAACAAAAATATTGCTCTTACTTGAGTGACAAGGCAGGGGTGGGTCAGGTATATTTTTTTCTTTCGGATATATTTCTTGATTGTTGACCATTGCCAAACGCTCAAATAAATATAGGCGGCCTAAACATCGAGAGAGTTGAGCAGTTTAAGTATCTAGGATGCTTGCTAAATGACAAATGGGGCTACGTACGAGGGCAGCGCCAAAATTTCCCGGCCTGAATATGAAAGAAACAAAATACAATAACAATTTTTTATTATTTTTCAATATAATATTAACTTCAATACACTTATTACATCTCTTTATTAACAACTCAATCCCTTTAAAAAAATATACTTTTGGTTTGTCTGCAAAATGAGCTAAAACAGCCTCTTTTAACTCAACTTCGTCGTTAAACCGCCCTCCATGTAAGCCTTTTTCGAATATCCAAACAAATAATAGTCGCCGGGGGCCATATCTGGACGACTATAGGGAGGATGATCTATCTGTTGAAACCCACACTCTAAAATGGCAGTTTCTGCAACACCGGCAGTATGCATTATCGTGCAAAAGACGCACGCCTCTGGTCAGTTATCCTCGACGTTTTACACGTATGCATTCTCGCAATTTATGTAATAATGTTGCCTAATATTTACCATTGACAGTGGTATTAGTTTCTTTAAAATCTATCAACAGAATTCCTTCACAATCCCAAAAGATCGTGGCCGTCACCTGTTTTTTGTTGACTGGCAGACTCTGAATGTTCTTGGAGGTGTTCACCCTTACGACGCCACTCCATTGATGCTTTTTTCATCTCCCGTCGCAATAGTTCCAAAAAAGACCGCGCACACTCGACACTGCGTTATTTTTGAATAGCCGAAAATACCCTATTATTATATATATATATATATATATATATATATATATATATATATATATATATATATATATATATATATATATATATATATATATATATATATATATATATATATATATATATATATATATATATATATATATATATATATATATATATATATATATATATATATATATATATATATATATATATATATATATATATATATATATATATATATATATATATATATATATATATATATATATATATATATATATATATATATATATATATATATATATTTACAGTACATATTTTTTTTTTATTTATTTATTTCTCTCTTGCGCGCTTCCCGAATCCTATTTTATATATATATAAATAAATATATATATATATATATATATATATATATATATATATATATATATATATATATATATATATATATATATATATATATATATATATATATATATATATATATATATATATATATATATTCTCACGTATTGATTCACGGATGGAAAAATGTGATGACACTATACTCCGGGATATCATCCGTTCGCTCGTTGAACTCCGACTGGAATCCTGCATCCGACTGGAATCCTGCAAATCCTGCATCCGACTGGAATCCTGCAGACGTTTCGCCAAAATCCCACTTGGCATCTTCAATGCTCGCGCTCCGAAAACACTTCGAAGTGTATAGCGTATATATATATACGAGGTCTGTCAATTAGATTCCCGGAAAAGTGGCCACACTGCGACTCTCGTTATGCTACGGCGTTCGCGTTGTGTCATTCGAAAGAGGATTCATTTCTGCGTCAGTCCGTGCAAGTTTCGTCTCGATCGGTTGTTCAGTTCGTGTGTTACAGTACTTTGATCATCGGCGTGTTTGGACCCCTTGTCGCGAAAATGTGTGCTAAAAAAACTGAACAAAGAGTAGTGATCAAATTTTTGGTCAAACGTGGTGTAAGTTCCGCGGAAATTATGAAACAGTTAACCGACGTGTACAAGGATGATTGCCTGAAAAAAACAGCTGTCTACGAGTGGGCTAAGCGGTTCAGGGAAGGCAGGGAGTCGGTGGAGGACGATTCACGTGAGGGAGCTCCCTCCACCTCTCGAACGGCACAAAACGTCGATCGCCTGCGCGTGCGTGTGCTCGGAGACCGTCGGGTAAGCCTCAGAATGTTGGAAGACGAGTTGGGTATCAACAAGGAAACCATTCGACAGATGCTACACGAGGATTTAGGGATGCGCAAGTTGTGCGCGAAAATGGTTCCCAAAGTGCTCACAGTTGAGCAGAAAGAGCTTCGTTTATCCATCTGTGAAGACATGATTTCTCGAATTGAGGAGGAAGGAGAAGACTGGATGTCAAATGTTATTACCGGAGACGAGTCTTGGGTGTTCCAGTATGACCCTGAGACCAAACGACAGAGCATGCAGTGGGTGGAAAAGGGGGGAAGCGCCCCACAAAAGCCAGAATGTCGAAATCAAAAGTGAAATCTTTGCTCATCGCATTCTTCGATATTAATGGAGTTGTACACCACGAATACGTTCCAGCATGTCAGACAGTCAATGGGAAGTTCTACATTGAAGTTTTGAAACGTCTGAAGGCCCGTGTGTTTCGTGCACGGCCGGAATTGGCCGAACGTGGATGGGTGCTGCATCACGACAACGCTCCAGCCCACTCCTCATTCGCAGTTCGCGATTTTTTGACCAAAAACGGCATTCCAACGCTTCCGCACCCCCCCTACAGCCCGGACCTGGCCCCCTGCGACTTTCATCTCTTTCCACAATTGAAGTCCTACCTCAAGGGCAACCGATACGACGGCGTCGAGGAGGTGCAACGTGTCACGACACGGGTGCTGAGGGACCTATCTTCAGGGGGCTTCAGGGGGTGCTTCCAATGGTGGATCCAACGGTGGCGCCGGTGCATCGAGCTAGAGGGAGACTACTGCGAAGGATTATAACTTAATTTTAAGAATTTATGTATATTCCGGACCGTCCGGGCACTTTTCCGGGAATATAATTGACAGACCTCGTATATATATATATTTACAGTACATATTTTTTTAGTATGCTTGTTGTAATTAATTTTTGCGAATAAACGTCATTAATTTATTTATTTATTCATCATTTATTACTCTCTTGCGCGCTTCCCGAATCCTATTTTCCATGTCCTCCGATGTAGAGGAATTCATATGAGTACCATCTCTAACATATAATAATATAATAAAAAAATCGATATATGTGATATTTTGAGAAAACATATTGCACATTATTAACAGGAATATTGTTTTCGGGAAGTTTAAATTATCAGGAATGCTACTCTTTTTTATTTTATAATGTTTTTTTTTTACATTCGAAATTTTATTCAAAACGATATTTAGTTTTCTTTCTTTTCTCCTTTTACTTGTTTATCTTCCGGGGAAAAACATCGAAGTAACATTATTTTCCCGTAATAAATATAGAACAAAACAATGGGATGTTATAAGGGATTGCAGGCGACCCCGGCACCCCTCGAGTCGATATCAATCAAATAACCAAACCCCGCGGCCGCCCGAAAAATATATCTATAATCAAACTTTTCGCATTCCATTTGCCCTAATATTTTTCCAATATCCGGACCTTTTAGTTTTCAGTGCCGCGGATCACGCTATATCGCGTCGCCTCTTTGCGATGCCGTTACGGACGTGGCTCCCCCTTCCCGCACCCCGGCTCCCTGTCTTTTTTTCCTCTTTTTATTTTGCATTATTTCGTCAAATCGACGACCGATGATCGGCGTTCGAAGAAAAGTTTCACGTATTTTGTTCGATTTATTTTCGGCTGACGTGGTATTCGCTTGCGGTTTCCCGCTACTGCTTATATTTGCATCGAAATGGGGCTCGGATTTCCGAGCGTCGCCTGATACAGGCCGTAGTATTCGCCGTTCGGCTGTGTGTTTTTTTTTTCTGCATAAGGGCGTGAAAAATAGTAAAATATCAAAACGCGTATTCGAATTTTTTCATCCTCCGAGCCGGAAACTTTGTCGCGGTGCTTCATTAGCTTCTTTCGAATGTGAACTTGTCAAACCTACATTGAACTGCGTAGAATGCCCACGAAGTAGTTCTACAATTGGCAATAAATTCCGATGTCTTAAGTTAATAGAACTAATTGGAGGTTGTTTTTGATCAGTTTTCAATACGAATATTACATGGACTGGGAACAGAAACGAAGCGGAAGATAACCCAAACAATTATTTGGAGTTAATTGAAAGAAGAAATGAAGAAATTTCCACACGAAATTGTGTTTGAAAATCAAATAATGAAAATTTCTTTTGCGATTTCAAACAACGTCAATTTTTGTCTTCGTCAAGTCCTAGCAAAACATAGAAGGTTTCGTCCACTTGACTATTTAGTTACCATGGCAACGTCAAAAAAAATTTCACCGACGAGGAAAACATTTCCACTAAAATTCATCCTTTGCCGTGGTGATGTGTCAAAAAACACGTTTTGATTACAGGCGTGGAATTATCAGTAAAATATTACTTATTGTTATACGAAAAAAAAAACATGTTTTTCTAAAATTTAAATCTAAACTAACTTTAATGCAAAAAAAGCACAAACTATGGGAAAAATAATGCAAAGCTTAACAAATAACAATTATAAAATACAAGCAATAGCTCTTTCGCTTTTGATTTGAGTTTGATGATTTGAGCATGCGATAAAAACAATTCGAAAGAAATTCGAAACAATTCATTGGGATTGTATGGGCAAACTTTAAACCATTAAAAATACAGGATCTTTTAAATATAATAAAAGTTGAGAATTTAGATAATTGTAAAGCTAAAATAGTTAAATTATCAGAAGTGGACTAAGAAATATTTATAATAATTTATTTTATTCCTCGGTATTTATTTCATTTTTCGGTATTCGCTTATTTTGCATAGAGGGTATTCCAATTTTAAATAGAACTGTATTTTTGTGCAATTTTAAATTCTTTATAGAGAACTAAAGTAATTTTATTGTTAGTGCGTTATGTAATTTTTGGGAATAAAACAGCTGAAAATCGTTTTTTGCACTGTTTAATCTTAACTTTTTATGGACCCTTAAATGAATGTATCATGAAGAAAATATGAAAAAAAAAACAAAAAACAAAAATTACGTTTTAATCGATACAGGGGAAAGATTCTTTTAGAAATTAGCAAAAAGCAGACGCCTAAATAAATTAATATGTATTGAGAGCTACAGTATAGTACTATATTATTTCTATTATATATTTTTTATTATCACTCGCTATTTGTCCACCAAAACGATTTTTAAAATTTTTGTTGATATTTAATTTTAAGGGCGTTTGAACTAGGGTCCTTGAGGATATTATTTTTATTCAACGAAAGTACTTAATAAGACTTAAAGACTTAAAAATTCCAACTAAATATTTTCGTCATAGGTGAAATATAATGGTCGTAATTAACAATTAAAATTTGAACCGGGCAATTTTCCCTTTGGTGACGTCAAGAGGCACGTTTTTCTTGTTCACAGTTAGCGGCTTAACATTTTCTTGTGAGTGAGTTTTCAGTTATTTTTGAGTTGAGAATGATTAATTGTTATTGCATCGCGTCAGGTAGTAAAACTACAACCATTTCTGCTCCGGAAAAACTATTTATTAAATTATCTATTCAAGAAAAACAAAGAAAAATAAGGCCAAAAGTCATTAGACGCCATCGTGTGTACATTTCGTTACCTTGTGAGGACCATTTTAACGTAAGAATTTTATTTGTTTAAAAATTTAAGGGACTTTAAAAAGAAACATAAATAGTAGCCTAACCTCACTTTTGTTTGTTGTTGCGTTAATATTGTCCAATTTCAGTTGAAGCAGGATATGGAAAACTATGTGGAAAGGAAAATGATAAGAGTTCAAAAAAGAATGAAAAAAATAGAGTTCTACAGATTTCTGCCTGCCAAGAAGGCAGAAGTCGGGACTTGTCGGGACTTGTCCACCACCGCATCGATTGATAGGTATTTTACAGACGGGAGTAGAAAATATATTTTTGGTTTTAGGGTTAATATTTTTTAGTGTAACTTATTGTATTTTAGAAGGTAATTGAAAAGTTTTCATGTAAATTTAAAAATATGCGCAATAGAAAAATTTTATTGAATGCAAAAATTTATTTTCTTTTAATTAGAATAATTATTTTTGAATAGTTCGATGTTTCGATTTTTTTTTGGCTTTTTCTTCTTAACTCCAAATCACTGGAAATCAGCGCTAGCAAAACCTATTTCTGCTTTCGGCGCGAGGTAGACATTTCGAGGTGGTGGATGGATGGGTTTTATTCGGGCCGGCGCTTTCCGATAGTCGTCGCGACGCTCTTAAGGATTTCGGGCACGTTGCGTATTCATTGCTATCCGTCAGGGAGAAAACGACCAGAAAAACGCAACGATTATTTAAAACAACCTCTCTCTTCCCGCACCCGACCATCAGCCCCGCCAGCAAAATGCAACAACCCACCACCAAACACCCTAGCGGGGGATAAGTGGAAAAAATAACGACAACCGAAACAATACTTAAAAGTTGGGCCGCAATAAAAATTCCACTAATGCGTCGTCGGCGGGGGAGGTAATCCTCCCCCTCCCCCCTCACCAACTGATACGCTTCCGTTGGGGAAAAACCGTTTAACAGTGACATCCGTGAGGGTGCCCCTCTAACGAGGACGAATCGCGAGAGGAGGCCATTGGCGCCGCAAATAGAGATTTCTTTATTTCTTTTTGAGATGCGCACCGAAAATATTGTCCAAGAGGCCCTGAAGAATCTTGCATTTATCTTACGGGTTTAATAACCTAAGATTCTTAACATTATTTTTTACAGTCTTGTCAAACTCCGACGACAGTCTGGAATCCAATGAATTTGAAATATATCGTTAGAATCGTAAATGCTATAAAGTATTATTAATAGACTGAGACATTTTTCTCATTCATTTCTATCATACGCAGTCTTTGGAAAATGTAATCCTTACATTATTCGAACCAGCCAAATGTTCGCTGTATATGTAGATATTATTAAAACTACTATTCCTACTCTCCAGTTATCAGATCAGTACCCGTACTAATAACAGAGTTGAGAACGCGTTTCCTGATCTCGACTCATTTGTTCTGAGCTTCAACTTTAAACGATGGGAAAGATTGCGTAACGTGTTGCAATAAGTAATTTATTTTTTCTACTCCCGTCTGTAAAATACCTAATTACACACCGATCTAGCGTGCGGGAAGCGTCACTTTACCACGTCAGTTTCGTTTCCCACGAATCCGAGCCACTTCGGACATTTCCGGGATTTTACCGCATGGGTTTGGGAGCAATCGGATATTTTCGGAGATATTTGAATTTTGACGTTTGTCAATTCTGACTGTCATGTCAGTGAATGTATTCGTGTTGTTTTGCGAAAAGCAACGGTCGTAGAAAAAGCATAGTATGCAATACGTTCGGTAAACTTTTTAAGTCGCTAGTTGCAATTTTTATGCAACATTCTCGGGACAGAATCTCAGGAAAGATCAAAAATAAAACCTACCAAAATAAAAATTAAATGAAAAAAAAAAAAGGAAAAGAAATTAACTACAACTGATTTTGCTACTCCCTTTTTTTACCAGTTTCGTTTCCCACGGATCCGAGGCACTTCGTTCATTAAACAATCGCTCTGCTGGTGCCAAATGGACTCGTGACTAAAATGCCGTTTACCACACTTGTTGTATAATATACTATTTTCTCCTCCCTTCTGTAAAATGCTTAATTATACACCGATCTAGTGTGCGGAAAGTGTCATTTTACCAAATCACTTTCGTTTCCCACGGATCCGAGCTGGTTCAGATATTTCCGGGATATTACCGTCCGGCTTTGGGAGTAATCGGATGTTTTCGGAGGTTTTACAGCACGGCTTGAATTTTGACGTTTGTGAATTCGGACTTTCATGTCAGTAAATGTATTCGTGTTGTTTTGCAAA